CCCGGGCGCAGCGTCCGCCGCCGCTGCCAGGTGAGCGCCCTCCGCGGCCCGCCGACCCCGAGTGCCCCCGCAGCTGTCAGTCCCCGGTGTCTGTGTGTCTCTCCGCTTGTCAGCCCCTGTGTCTGCGCGAGCGCCTTCCCGCCAGGCCTGGTCCCCGGCCCGGCCTGTAGGCTCCGTCAGCCCCCTCCGCGCGCTGCCCCCGTCTGTCAGCCGCCAGCACCCCCATGCTGCGAGGCTCCGCCCCTTCCCCCCGAAGCCCGGCCCCTCTCCCATCTGTCAGCACCCCTAGCTCCAGGCTCGCGCGCCCTGGCCCCCGGGGGTCATTGTGCCCCACGGGCCACCCAGTGGCCAAAGGGGCGAAAGGGCGTGGTGCAGGAGAAGCGGGGTGCCCAGGGAGGCGCGCCGAGCGCCGCTGGCTTCCACTCCCCGGGCCGGGCCGTTGCCTCCTGCCGGGACGGGGCAGCCCATGCCGCTGGTGTAAAGAGCGCAGCTGCACCGGCCAAGGCAGCTGAGCCGACTCCACTGCTCGGGGTACGGTAGAATCCTGAATCCCGGGTCCGCGCTGGCGCCCAGCAAAGCGGTGCACGTGAGCCCTGGGGGTCCGGGTGCTCGCAAGGGCGTGTGAGAAGAGTTTGAGAGATTTGTGACGCCTTCCCAGTTCGGATTTTTAGTCGGAGAAGCAGTTGGGAGTGATGGAGGAGTGGGTGGGATGCGGGTTTAGGTGGAAAGTGAGAGTTTGAGTCTTTTGGAATCGCACGGTTTGAGTTTCTGAGCAGCGATTGCCTTGGGCTGGAGCCCTGCACGAAACTGTTCTGTGCTGGGGAGTGCGGGGGAGTGTTAGGTAGAGGAGCAGAGAGGGCCTGTGCCTTTCTGTTTTTATCTATGTCCTGTGGCACAGTGTATGTTTATCTACATATCCCGAATGTTTATTCATGAGGCATCCACACATTTTCAATTTAAAAAAAGATTACTGTAGTTTCCATTTATATACGTGTTCTTGTATGTGGTTTTCTTGATGTTTTTATTTGTGGTAACTGAGTATTGCAGTATTTCAAAACTAAGAGAAAAAGCGTCCTAAAACAATTGGTATTTTGCTAGATAATTCTCAACCACGGAGAAAGAGCCAAAAATGTACTTCATTAGCTGGAACAATTTATTCGAGCTTAATTTGTTTCTAAGAGACATACAGTGGAAAAATCCAGAAGCGGCAAAGAAGTATCAAAGAAACTTCGAAAATGAGTGAAAAAGGCCCCTCTATTGCTGCCTGGGAAAGATAGTATCGGAGGTGTTTTAAAAGACAGTTACTGTGTAATGATAAACATATTAACCAAGTTGGTTTTGCGACCTTGATACATGGAGCCACGCTTGATTTGTGCAGTGGTTCATGACAGGCAAACATTGCGGAAGTGTGGTAATTTTTGGAAAAAATGTTCCCCACATTGTTTTTTGTTTTTATGTTGAAGATTGCAGAGTAGGGTCGTCTCACGGTGCAGTAGATTTTGTTTTTTAAAGATAACATTAAAATTTACAAAGTAATTCATATTTAATTAAAAAAAACCAACAACATAAGGAAGACCCAGAGTCTCACAAACCATAGTAAATCACAGTTTGGCATTTATCCTTGTTAGTCTTGTCTTTCCATGTATACATATATTTTCTTGCAAAAATGCTATAGACTAAAACTTTTATTGCACATTTTTCCTTTAACCTGTAGTAGATTATGAGAGAGGTGTTGTAGTTTTATGAGTAGGTACATGCGTTGTCTTTATGATCCTTTTAAAAAGTGACGTTGTGCTGGTTCTCAGCATAGAGCACTCTAATAGTTTTTCATTTTAAAGTAAAACCTGAAGTCCTTGCTATGGCCTATCAGGCTGCCTACGTCTTTGTCCCAACTTCCAGGACAAACCAGTTTCCTTGCTAGTTTTTAAAAACTTTTGGCATACTTCAGTCTCAGTGCCTTTGCTTTTGCAGTTCTCCTTTACGTCTTCAGGTGTCTGCTCAAATGTACCCTTCTCAGGCTTTTCCTGACCACTCTATAAGATACTGTTCATCCCTCAGTCCTCTTTGCCTTGTTTTATTTACCAGCTCTTGGTAATACATATTTATATTTTGGTGTATTGTGTTTCTTCTTCATTAACCCCGAAGTGTGAGACTTTTTGTCACTGCTATATCCTCAAAGTTTAGAACTGCACCTGGGATGTTGTAGTACTTACTGTTTGCTGAATGAATGAACAAATGAATGTTCATTATCCATCCATTCATGTGATCTTGTTGGTAGCCTTCTAGATAGCTATATAATGAAGTGAATAACAGTCTCTTAAAAGTCATGACATTCTCTCTTTTCTGTATGTGAGAAGAAAGAATTTTACAAAGTGAGGTTTATGATCTCAAAAAGAATTACAATCTTGATTTAACTTGAACAGCTGGGAGAACATTTTTGGCAAATGTTATTGGCTTTTCTTCTTAAGCGTTATCCCTTGTGTCATATAGGGAATCTTTCAAAAATACGAACTGTCCCAGTTATGTCTACAGCTGTGACTTCACTTTGGTAACTCTAGTGATAATGTAAGCCTCAAGAGCAGAGTGGATTTTTTTGTGTGGCAGATCCCCAGAGATATAATAAATATAGCTTTAAAGTGTTTTCATTTGGGGGGTAACTGTTATACTTTTCTTGGTAATTGTTTCCTTTTCATCTCTCTGTTCATCAGTTTTTGGGTGGTCTAGAAGGTACACTTTTTACAAAATTTAAAAAAAATAATCCTTGACCTTTGGAGCATTTTACATCTCTCATATAATGTTTGTGTTTGTGTGTGTGTGTGTGTGTGTGTGTGTGTGTGTAACTGCTAGGGATGGAACCCAGGGTCTTTGCACTGAGCTGCCTTCCTGTCCCTTAATTTTGAGATGGGGCCTCACTAAGCTGTCCAAGCTGGTCTTCAAGTTGTGATCCTCTTGCCTCAGTCTCCCAGAGTGGTGGGATTATAGGTGTGAGCTGCCATGCCCAGCTTCCTGTGACAGTTTTATCTTTCAGGTGGAACAACAGCTGTAATAAAATATAACATTGTATCTTCATTTAGAAGGAAGGAAAATTGTATCTTGAGGCAGATTTTTTACAGAGAATACCTGAATGTAAGATTGTTAAAGATTTGAGCTTCAGTTTGGCTACTTTTTAGTGAGCTGGGGTTTGTATGTATATGTGTGGGGGGACTTGCTCCTTGCACTTACTTAAAGAGAAGGGTCCCTAAGACACAGTCTAAAGACCTTCACTTATGTTCCAAATATGCAAGAACTTTGTGGGAGAATCCTAAATAAAAATTTTATTCTTTGCAAGGCTTCATGAAACTGTGTGTTAACTTTTATTTGTACTATCGGCATTTATTGTACATGTATTTGGGGGCAGTTCTATGTGTGCTGCGTAACCATGTTCAGTTTTAGATCGCCAGCTTGGTTTCTCGTTCTTTTCTTTCTCAGCTGCCTCCTCTCTGTGAATGAATTCCTCCAGTCCCAGGACTTTAATATCCCGTACATGCAGATGATTCCCTCTGTATACCTCCCACTCTTTCTCAGGTTCCAGACTTGCCCTTTCAGGCCTTCCTGTTTTCTCTGCTTGCTGCCTCACAGTCCCAGATTGGTCTCTCAGTTTCTCTTTCAAACTTCAAAATTTGTATCCCTCATTCATGATCCCTCCTTCCTGTCCATCTGCCAGCCTTTCCCATCTCACTGTCATTACTGTCCACTCGTTGTTCAGACACCTACCAGTCATCCTTCATCTTTCCCTACCCCATGTCAAGGCCATCCACCTGGCCTGTAAGCTGGCCTCCAGAATATTTCAGATCCTTCCTTCCCTGTGCTTTCTAATTCAGCCACTCTTTTCTCTCAGCAGGATGACTGTCCACTGCCTCTTAGCTCATTTCCCAGCATCACGCTCACCTTCTAGCATAGTCTCTTTACAGCAGCCAGAGTAATCTAATAAAGAAGACCATGCGACCTCCCAGGGTAGTGCCTTCCTACAGCACTTACAGTCACATCTACACGTACTCTAAGGCAGCAGCCCCTGCCTCCCTTTCCACCTCCTGCTCGCTGTTCATCATGCTTGTCAGATTGAGTGCTGTAAATTTCTCCAGTATGCTACGTTCTTTTGTATAGATCTTTCCTGTGCCTGTCACTTTACCCTAGCTCTTCTTATAAAAAGATCATTATCAAACATATATTCTCAGCTAAAATGTTTCCTCCCAGTGGCCTTCCCTGATTACTCTTTCTATATATCGTAGCTTCCTCCCCATTATCCTCTGCCTCAGTATATATGTATCTCCCTTCTTGGTACTTCACCAAAAGCCCAGGTATTTTATTTTTACACTTGTTTCCTTTTTTAAGGTTAACTTTTCCAACAGACTGCAAGATTTATGAGGGCAGGGACAGCTTGCCTAGTTATGGCATAGTCCTGGAACCCAGTGCTCTGCCTAGAATCCAGTAGGTGCAGGGGCTCCAACATTTTCAGTAATTAGAATAGCAGCTTTTTTTTTTTTTTTTGAGATTTACTATGTAGTAAGTCCACTGCAAAGTGCATTCACTCATTATATAAATCTTTGGGAGAACCTAGTAAGGTGACTATATATATATATATATATATATATATATGGTGAGAAAATTGAATTTAGAGAAGTTTAGAAATTTTTAAAGTTACACAGCTAAGAAAGTAATTAAATTGGGATTTTAATCCATGTGACTTAACTTTTGGACCTTTCTTCTTATCTATTACTGCTTTCTGATACGAATGTGGGAATGAATATGAGATATGCTGTGATATTAATATTTGATAGATCCTCATATTTATATATGGGAGCATAAAAAATAATAATGTTTGGGTTAGAGTGTTGTATCTCTCTCCCCCTTGCCAGTACTGGGAATGGAACCCAGAGCATCATGTTACACAAGCACTTTACCTACTGAGCTGTGTCCTAAAGCCCTTTTATTCTTTTGTTCGGAGACAGAGCCTTGCTAAGTTGCCAAGGCTGTCTTTGAGCTTGCCATCCTCCTGCCTCAGCCTCCTCAGTAGCTGGGATTATAGGTGTGTGCCCCTCCACTCAACCAAAAGTTTCTCTTAATAATCACTATGCCAAGCTCAGTTCGGTGGTGTAGACTTTGTAATGCCAGTGCTTGGGAGGCTGACGCAGAAGTAGCTCCATGACTTTGAGGCCTACTTGGGCTATGTAGTAAAGGTCAAGGCCAGTCTGGACTATATAGTGAGACCTTGTCTCAAAAAAAAAAAAAAAACAAAACCAAAACAAATAACCACTATGCCAAACCACATAGATTAGTTTGCTTTCAGGCTCTGCGTTTTAACTTTACCTGTGCTACTTTCTGTTGGTCCTTGGAAAAATTACTTTTCAATGTTTTTGGAAATGGAAAAAAATAGTTATAAATGGAAAAAAAAAAGTTCTTAGTGCTGGGTGTGGTTGGTGCATGCCTGTAATCCCAGCACTCGAGAGACTGAGGCAGGAGGATCGCTGAGTTTGAGGCCAGCTTGGGCTGCA